GCGCTGTCCCCCAGCTGCAGGAGGACGAGCTGCGGGACGCCGTGCTGCTCGTGTTCGCCAACAAGCAGGACATGCCCAACGCCATGGCCGTGAGCGAGCTCACCGACAAGCTGGGGCTGCAGACGCTGCGCAGCAGGACCGTAAGTGCCGCCGGCCGCGCGCGGGGCGGCCTCGCATGTGCGCGGGGCGGCCTCGTGTGCACACGGAGCGGCCTCCCGTGCGCACGGAGTGCCCTCCTGCACACAGAGCGGCCTCCTGTGCATGCAGAACACTGTCCTGCACACACACAGCACCCTCCCGGGCATGCAGAGCACCCTCCTGCACACACAGAGCACCCTCCTGCACCCTCCTGTGCACACAGAGCGCCCTCCTGTGCACACAGAGCACCCTTCAAGGCACACGGAGCACCCTCCCATACACACGGAGCACCCTCCCGTGCATGCAGAGCACCCTGCTGCACACAGAGCACCCTTCCATGCACTCGGAGCACCCTCCTGCACACACAGAGCACCCGCCTGCACACACGGGGCACCCTCCTGCACACACAGAGCTCCCTCCTGCACACAGGGCACCCTCCTGCACTCAGGGTGCCCTCCTGCACACAGAGCACCCTCCTGTGCATGCGGGGTACCTTCCTGCACACACAGAGCACCCTCCTGTGTACACAGAGCACCCTCCCATGCACACAGGGTGCCCTTCCCGCGCGCGGAGCGCAGCCCTGCGGCTGCGGCCACCGGCGCCTCTCTTGCAGTGGTACGTGCAGGCCACCTGCGCCACCCAGGGCACGGGCCTCTACGACGGGCTGGACTGGCTATCGCACGAGCTCTCCAAGCGCTAGACGCGGCCGGTGACGCAGGCACCGGACGAGCCGGGGACGTCTCTTCCAACACCGCTGTCGTTTTCCTTTTATTTTGGTTTCGTTTCGGGGGCTGCTTTTCTCCCTCTCCCCAGAGTGGCCCCGTCTCTGACTGCTCGCTGTGTTTATCTGCTAGGACTTGAACCTCAAGGACTCTTCAGGCAGCTCCGCGGCGGCCGCCCCTGCCCCGTTGCATGT